TCAAAGAGCCACAATGGATTTGCTTTATGAGTTGGAGGGTCATATTGTGAGAAAAATAATACGATGACCATATTAATTTTTTTCTAAAAGTATAGGGACCTCTGATTTTTTTTAAATAACATATTTTTTTGTCAGTTTGTTCTCCGAAAAACAGACATTTTTAGGCTCTTATTTTGAGTTAATTTCACTACACGTCCTCAAAACTATAACACTCACTCTAAATTAGTTACCAAGTTTTTGTATACTTTAATTTCATCCCTAAACTATAACTCTCCTTCTAAATTAGTCCCTCAAATCTTAAACATTTTGAATCCATCCTCAACCTATGACCCCATTCTATATTGATCTTTAAACTTTTGAATATTCTAATTTTATCTCCAAACTTTTGAATGATTTAGGGGGAAATTATTGGAATGTTCAAAAGTTTGGGAATTTATTTAGACTGAGGGTCATAGTTTGGAGATGAATTCGGAATGTTCAAAGTTAGGGACTTATTTAGAATGATATTCATAGTTAGGGATTGAATTTTAATTTTAAATTTTAAAAACAAATTAAAATGAGAGTTATTTGAGGACATATAGTGTAATTAATTCCATTTGCTAGTACAAATGTGTGTATAAACACTAAAATATGTTTGTAATGTATTTTTTAATAAAAATGACACATTAAAAGAAATTTTCGAAAATTCAGTCACCCCCCAAGCTTATAGATGGATATGGCGAGTGTCCATATTCCTAGCCTATACGAGAAAAAGAATATGTTTACGAGAACCCTAAAATGGGAGAAATTATTTCATAATATAGGCTCACTAAGTCATTCATGATTCAAATCAATCATATATTTCAATTTTAAAATAACTTCTAAATAACTATCAATTATTTATTTACACGTAGGAAAGATGTGAAGATTCACCTAAGAAGAAATGAGATGAAAAATATTATTGGTTGGGATCACGGATGACGTGATGAGCCAGATTCATCTAATGATTTTTCCTAAAATGGATTGCATCTTCACTTTATGTAACGAAAATTTAAGGGTAAACTAGTCACTAACATTATCAATTTATTAGAAATCGATCACTCGCCGTCACTCGTCATTAACAGCCGTTATTGCAGTAATGGAATGCTGAAATGACACGTTAAACCAACTGACTCAGCATGTTTGACCGACTGTTATACTCTTCTCTTTTTCTTCATGTTTGACCTATTGTTTAACTTTTTTTCTTCTTCTTAGTTTTAAGTGAGATGGTTCTAGTCTAATCATGTCTGATATGATTCATGAATTATGTTTGAAACTTGTCAAATCATGAATGAAAGAGATGGATCCACTGGCTTTGGAAGAAAGTGAGGTGATAATGCAAAGCAAAGCAACCGTTAGATACTCAAAACTCAAAGTGCATTGTTTAGCCTTTCCCAAGTTACACATCAAAACAAGGAAAGACGGTTGTGATTTGTGAACGAATAACACGATCCCTTTTTCTTGAATATAACCGTTGATACTCAAAACTCAAAGTGCATTGTTTAGCCTTTCCCATTACACATCAAAACAGGAAAGACGGTTGTGATTTTGAACGAATAACACGATCCCTTTTTCTTGAATATTTAAAAATGAAAAATTTATTCCTTTTAATGAACTCGCATTTCGACAGTGATCTGGATTTGATCCAGTTCAAAATATTGAGATAAAGTAGAATCAATGGAGTCTCTTTTCTCCCTCAAAAGATAAGTCTTTCAACATCAAATCGTCAGGGACGCATGTTACATTTGTTCTTAGTTGATAGTTGGACCATGCATGTAGGTATGTTACCCCCAACAAAGGTCTCACCTGTACGCAAGTAAAAGGGTTCTTAAACAAACATCATTATCATGTACCAAAAAAACAAACAAACATCATTATCTAAATTAGACACACTCATTCACAGATGTATTGTTTAACCAAGTGTGTTGAAAGATAACAAAGCTATTGCCGTTAAACTCAAAATGATAGTTGGTGCCATTTTAAAAAAACAGTATACAAATCAAGGCTCCAACATAAGAGGAAGCGAGAAAATCTTCTGTTTATTCATACAAACACTTATGGCGGATAGATAGGATCTTTTTAAGTGGGGAGAGAATCAGATGTATAACACAATATATATTACGAAATTTCTAACTTATTTAGTGATTTCATCCACATTCATGGAACCATGAACTGATAAAAGTAGTATTATTTTTAACAGCACAAAAAAATATGCTGCTAGCTAAACAGTGAATCATGAAATTCAGGTTTTTATAGATCAAGAGCGAAAGAAAATTGAACAAGGGATCGGCCTTCCGATGAACATCTGGAATGGGAATCCATTGCCTAAATACTTTTGAAAAGAGGCTTTGTTCCAACTGTTTGAACTAAAATTATTACTATAGGAAAAGATGACCATCTTCAAAGTTTTATATCTGATATAACAAGAGTCTACCCATCAGACTTATAAGTTGGAGTGTCATCGTGATTGTTTGCAGCAATATGTTCTGATAAAATTATAGCTTCCTCCGGAGAACATAGCAGCTCCTCCATTCATCTTTTGCTCCTGGTGGTTCAACTTCATTCATTCAATCCCAGAGTCTCGAGAGACTTTCGTAACTTAATGTCTAATGAGAGTAGCTAAGACTGAAAGAGAGAGAAGATTCGTGGATATCATCTTTTTGCTCGTCGTAGTTCAGCTTTATCATCCAATCCGAGAGCCTCAGGAGACCTTTGTCACCGTGATATGTTCCAGCAATCAGAGCTGACGATGATGATAAAACAAAACACACGCTCGATGGTGCATCAAATTTCTGTTGGAAAAATAATAATGATGTTGTTAGACAAACAAGTTACTGGGAAATGCTTCTTTAGCTTGTGAAAGAGAACCAAACAGATTTCATGTACATAAACGAGGGCGATGAAAACAATAACAGTTTACAAATAATTATAAAATGGTCACTAAACTTTATTATGCTTTTATAAAATGATCATTAAACCTATCAAATTATTAAAAAATAATCCTTAAAACATATCACTAATTTGTGGTATACAGTAATTATTCTGTAACAATTGATAAGTACAATTATCATTTATAATCTCTAAAATTTTAATAATTAAAAAATCATTTTGATATAATTGAATGCTCAATTATATATTTACCCTTAAAAATCATTTGTCAATGTCATCAATGGCTTATATATGAAAATAATTGAATACCGTATATTAATTAATTATATTTTACAAATTTAAATATTACAGATAATTTTTATTTTCAGCAAAACTTAGATGTTTTTGGTTTCAATTAATATTCTACATTAAAACTCATTTTATTTATATGAATAAATTCAGATAAATAATTTGATATATCAGACTATTCCAATCGAGCATCAAAATGTACTATCAAAACTTAAAAAATGTATATAGTCTTTTTTGTTAGATAACAAATTATACGGAAAAATTGAACACATTCGTGTCAGAAACATGTCTGTATCAACCCCTTATACTCGCATCCGACTCCTCGAACCCAAACAACACATGTATAAACCATAAACACGCAGCAAACATGTGGTAGATAAGGTAAAATGCACACAAGCTCACAAAATGTCATAAAACAAATTGAAGGTTGGTTCGGAAATAGGATGGAACTCGCCTTCGAGGGACTACAGATCGACGAATTCAAGCGCATGAGGAGCTTCACTGAGGTGTATTTTTCACCTTTGCGGCTGTTAAGTGAAACAGCTCGGATACCACTTCTTAGCTCCGTAATCGGTAGGCATGTTGGCCTCCAAAGTCATCCTTTTCGGACATGTCATATTCGTGCACCTCGATACGGAGAAGAGCAAGTTCCGGACAGTTAGACGGAATTCAAATTCCTCGTTCCAAGAAGGCACCCAATTGTCCTCTAATGTCTTGGTTTTTTCATCACAGAATCTACCGGAACTCCAGCAATCCCCACCTGGTTACAAATTAACCAAATTCAAGATCAAGATCTTTACTTTAACACGGATCGGGTTCTATCGGAGGTATTTCCGGATATGTCGGTTTATCGACTTACCCTTGCATAAAAGTCCGGAGGCGAATAAGCGTCGAAATGAGTGTGATGAAAATAATACCAGCCTTCCCCCATGTAAACAGTTACCTTCAGGAAACAAATCAAGAAATCAGCACTTCAGGTTAAGAAAACCGAAGAACTCGAATCCCATGGACATAAAAGCACACCTTCAAAATTTTCTTCACCGGTAACTTGACTCGCGGATCAAAGACTTCATTAGGGTTCAATAGAAAATCGGGTTTTTTTTCAAGTATCCACATCCGCCATTGGCCTTAAACATTCCATGCATCAACCATAACGATCTTCCATAACCCTATCACAAACCGATGAGGAAATAAAAGAATCTTAGGATTCGGTGAAGCGGACAAAAATGTCGACTAAGAAAAACCGATTGTTGGATTGTCGGAACAAGTATGAATCCTATAATCAGTCTAGGATAACGAATGGCGTCCTATTGATTTCTCATTATATGCACAACAAACTTGTATGCACATAACGTGCACTACAAGCAATCAGTTCTTCAACTACCGCATAGAATCCAAATACTTCTTATTAACACAAGGAAAAACCCGAATTTCGCTGAACTACACTTAAAATGATCACAAATGAGTAAAAGCGAGGAGAAGGTGTATAAACCTGCATATTAAATGCGACCATTTGAGCGCCGTGCATCCATCCTATTAAAGGGTTGTAATTGGAAGAGTCAACGCGTGTACCCTTCGGGTATACCCTAAGAATATTCCGCTGCGTAAATCTGTGGCAGTTGAAACTCAGAAAAGAAATTCGAAGCTTTATCTAATAAAAAGGATGTTCTTTGCCAAATCTTTTATGAATTACCTGACAATTTCTTTCCATGAGTAACTGCAGCCTTTTCAAGTGTTGCTCACTCATGCTAAGACGCCTCACCTTGTCCGGATCCACCCTTAGACACTCCTCTAATCCGCCCTTTGGCTTCCCGGCATGAATAGCGATTAAACGTTTATATTCTGGTGCTAAAGCATGCTGTGATTTATCTCCATCATCGGTATCTTCCTCATCTTCTTCATCCAAGTCGTCCTGTCATATGAGATAAAACATAAGTGAACTGTAAATCTTACAGTTACAGCTAGTAAACTCAATTTGAAGTAATGAATCACACTCGGAACACCAGAGACCTTGTATTCTGCTTCGTTAAGGTCTGGAACTTCTTTTCCCCAAGCTTCTTCATCGGGACCTTACCCCTTCTCGACTCATTCTCTTTATCCTTAACTTCTTTGGCCTCAAGATATTCCTTTGGTGGTTTTGTAGATATGATTATCCGCTTCTTCAAAGACTCCGGAGACGGGAATTCTTTCAAGCATTCCGAGCCAGGCGAAAACAGGATGTCTCCGAATGTTTGAGATACCATCTAAATCAGCCACTGAAGCGTAAACTATGGAAACATTAGCCATTTCAAATCCCAGCATAAGCATCAAGGGACTCACCTCGGCAACTTTAGCCTGAAGTTCCGGGGTAAGATGATCTTCTAGAGTTATAACCGGTATTCTGACGCAACAAAAGCGTATTCCTTAATAGACCTCAAACACTTGATGATTTCCACCGGAGTAGTCAGTGTCCTACATGAAGAAAGTATTCGTAAAATGGAAGATCCATTTCATTTTAACAGCTTAGAAGGGGAACAACTTGCGGACCGAGAGTACATACCTTCCATGAAGAACATCGACATTATCTTTCGTGGAATTGGGCCATATATCCAATTCTATCACTCTCACGCCTCTCTTAAGTGCATTTATGATGGGGACATCGCTGCAGTCGCTACTGAGTTGATTCCCGGTAAGATAGGAATTGTGACCGGTATGTATGAAATAAGACAAAGGAGCATTCATATCATGGTGGACCTGAAAACAAACAAACGAAAACGACATAAACAACGGATTCAACAAGAACACACACTGAATAGACAAGTTCAAAAGCATGTGATTGAATATTTTAGCTCGGAGTTACGAATTTTCTGAGACATCGGCATCGTCACGGGGCAATCATCAAAGCTATGAAAGTAAAAAAACAATTCAGCCAAAACACATTGATTACTGAGCTGAAAATAAGTATTAGTTTCATCTAAAAGACTAAATCCCATAAAAGATACCAAATTTTTCTTCTCAAAAATAATACCCAAATAGGAACAAAACACAAACATCATATATAAAAAACTTCCATTTTCTCCCAAAATTTCCCCAGCAACCAAACAAACATGCGAGCTGTCGAGCATAGTCTAGCTAGCTCGATCACCTTGATGTTTATCTTGAATCGAACTCATGCTTTGTAGCCTCAAATTTCGAGTCAAATTCGAGTTCTTATACAGCTTGAGTTCAGCTAGATTACGCCCTACTCAAAAGTAGAAGGATGACATGAAAAGATCCCAATTTAAGTTCAGCCAAATTAATTGCAGGAAACCCAAATAGGAATAAACTCGATGATCACATACTATATAAATAATTCCACTTTTCTCCCAAAATTTCACAGCAACCAAACAAAAACATAAACCATATAACTTTAAACCAACCCTAAAGAGATCAAACCTTCATGCTTTACACCCTTTCTATAGAATTTTCCCGTCAACCAAACAAAACAAAAATCATAAAGAGATGGAAAAGTTTTGAATACCCCAAGAGAAGCAAGAGGAGGATTAATATCACCAAAGAGATACTTGAAAAAAGCTTCGAGATTTAACCCCTTTCTATGAAAATGCTTGACACTGTCAATAATCTTCCGAGCATCTTCTGTGGTTGCCTTATCTTCTTTCTGGACTTCAACTAAGAACCTTTGAAGTCCATCGGCGTCCATTAATCCATTATCGGAGTAATGTTCGAACAGTTCCTTGATCTCCTCCGGTGCCTCTGAAACTGTGACCCTGAACCTCCGCCGGAAACAGAAGCAGACCCTGTAAGTTTGTTTGGACATTTGGGTTTCAGCTACAATTCCCAGAAATCTGATTCAATAAACCCAAAATCAAAACTATACATGTGGGGAATTTATCATCGTTTCATCCCTGCTTTCTCTTTTTTACCGGAAAAAGTAGGATGGATGATTGCGGGACCCACATACTACGAGTGTAAACTCGTGGACCCTGTCGGACAGTTGGCATCGCCAGGGATATGCTGCTAAGATTTCATGATCCTGTCGTATTTGATCGTCTAATCCAGAAGACTATTTGTAACTCTCAAAAGGTCAACTTGACAAAAGTATAAATCTTTGGGTAAATATACATTTTGGGGGCTGAATTTAGCTTAAGGTTTAATTTTTTATTGAATTAGATATTATTGTAGAATGTCCATGATTTTGTTTTCTTAGTTTCTATCTTATATCTAATCACACGGAGTGCGTCAAAGAAGGAGTATTTAATGCAAACAAACTTCAAAACATAGTACAACGAATCGGTTAAGAATTTGACGATAATATAAAATAAATTGTTGAGTTTATGAAACTTGAAAGATCTGTTGGAGAAACAAGAAAGTCAAATGGACGTAGCGAGTTCGTATCTAAGTCTTTAATCCTTAAATAAATTTTTTAGGTAGATACCTAATTGCATTAATAAGTCAAGTTCAAGCACCTGGTTAGATTAAAAAAATTTAGGTATTAAATTTAACTTGAACCCTGAAGTCAAGTTTAAATACCAAAATTTATGGTTTCAATCCCTCTATTGTACTAAAATTTGAGCTTTAATTCTTTATTTTGATTTGACATTATTTTTACTTTTTTATATAATGCTATTAATATGTCCAAACTGATAATAATTATTGTAGTTAAAGTAATGATATAAAATTTATTATTATTCTTTATTTTATTTCAATTATGTAATTTGAATTTTTAAAATTTATGTGTGGATTATATGTATTATAGACTTTTAAATTTAAAATTTTAGATTTTTTTTATATAATTTTTTAAAAAACAATAATTTAAATAAAAAATAAAAAATTATGAAATGGGTACCCATGACCCGGATTATATATAATATAATTATATACATATCAACTTAAAAATATTTTATTTTCATTTTCATTTAAAAATATATAATTTATTTTAATTTATTGAAAGTATGACTAAATTGAGAGAATATGTAAATAACGTGGACTAAGTGTGTAATTATATAAAAATATTTAATTGTTGTTAACGAAAGTTAACTCGGGGTGACCAATCTTAATTAAATAAAAATAAAAGTGACTATATATTAATTAAATAAAAATGAAAGTTTTTTGAAATCAATGACCAAAAGTATACAAAATACAAATATAACTAATCATCTGTGTAATTAACCCTAAAATTAATCTCAAATAATTCATTAGTTTTTTAGTTTTTTTCACAAAATTTTATACAACTTAAACTATTTTCAATTAAAATAATAATACATTTAAGTATATTTTTTATTTAAGCCAAAACACTTAACATCAATGTTGTAAAAACATTCAATAATTTCTTTCTATAATTAACCAAGGTCAAATAATTTGATATGACATTATCTCATTTTACCTTTTAGTATTGATAATTGGGGGTATAATTTAATCGTATTTTAGCTAATAAACTTACATTTTTGTTTGTTTTATTATTTTTAATGAATATATATATATATATATATATTATTTGTGTTCGTTTAAATTTTTAATACTTTGTTCGTGTTTGTTTTATTATTTAAAGGTATTCATGTTCACTAGTTTAATATTTTGCAAATATTTTCGTTTATTGTTTGTGAACATGTTCTCTCAATATTCGAGAACATGTTTTTTTAAAGTATGTGAGCATCTTTATTTTGTTTAATGTTCAATATCATGCTCATTTAATATTCACGAATATGTTTTATTTAAAGTATGTAAACATGTTATTTCGTTCGTTTAATATTCACAAAAATGTTCATTTGACGTATGTCAACATGTTAATTTAACGTTCGTTTAATGTTCGATAACGAACAATCTTTTTTTATATTTTTTTGCAAGTAAAAAAGTAGTCAAATTATATCAATAGTCCTTAAGTACCTTAGGCTTCATGATTTGAACTCCAAAATCAACCTTATGTTCAATTTAATTATTATCTTCATGAATATTTAAAATATTATAAAATTCATTTAATATAATATAGATGAAATAATTATGTCAACAATATTTTTATCAACAATAGCGTGATAAAATGAAGTGTCATGTTATATCATGATCATATAATATTTTTTTTAACACAGAGAATATAACTGGGCATTAATATATATATATATATATATATAACTCCATAAATTATTTTTTTAATAGTAACTCCCTTAGCAGATTTGTTAAAAAATACCTTTTAAAGTGTCCATGTAAGATTACATCGCGTTTTATAAGGCGTGATTTCCATCGATTTTTTCATACAAAGTTATTTATTATTAGATAAAAACAATAATAAATGCATGAAACTAATTTTTCGTAAAACACAAGATCTAACCTCGTTTTTTACGGAACGTGAGATCATCATACATGATAGTTTGAGGGTAATTTTCTAACAAATTTGTTAGGGGTTATTTTTCAAAAAAACAATTTTTAGGGGTTTTAATATAATAAGACCATATAACTAACTACTAGCCTCAGTGGGGTTTTCAAAAGAATTGCAGATGTGATTAGAGAGAAAATTAAGGACGAACGTGGGGAGTCAAATGGCTCGGACGACTGAATGGTACTAGTGTTAGTTACTCATGAGTTGATTTTTAAAAATAACTGAATGGTACTATGTTATACTCATGAGTTGATTTTTAAAAATAATTATTTAAATTTTTTTAAAACAATAAAATTGGTTAAACTATCAAGGGTTCCTGATGTTGAGTAAGTTTTTATTTTTCTCTACCAAAGTTTCAAAAGTAACAAATCGGTCACTAACATTATCGATTTATTACAAATCAATCCCTCCGTTAATAGCCGTTATCACAGCTGACATCGCACGTTAAACCAGTGATTCAACATATTTGACCGACCCTTTGGCTTCTTCTTCTTCGAATTCAAAAACAAGAAGCCTATGGATGAAAACAACCGTCTACCATACAAGCTAACTAAAAGAGGAAGAGGCAATAAATAAGAACAAACTC